TTTTGAAGTGCTAATTATTTTGTTTATATACGTTATATTTGTTGTTTATGTACCTACCTAAATATGTTGTGCAAATTGAAAATTGTGTTCGATGTTCGTTCTCCTTTTGACTTTCCATTCGTTTCCAAATAATTTGCGGATTAAATTATCCTGCTTTATTAAAAGACAGCTTTTTGAATGGCTGGATCGGATTATTTAATTGAAAGAAGTGTTATTGATGCCCTCGAAGAATTTTGGTTGATGTGCTTACTTTGCTCCAATGTTTCTATTTTTTTTTAGCTCCTGAAAGCTGAATTTTCCTGATTTTTAGTTTTGGATGTTCCTCCATGAAGCTAATCAAATCTTTCTTTTGTTCAGCAGACACAAACCCTCCACAAACCATGATTGTTAGTTAACGTTATAAAAAACAAGGACGTTCAAGGAAATCCCAACGATTAGGTGCACAAAATTTATTTCAAGATCTATACCAACAGAATAGACTAAATAATACTTGATAGACTCAATGGATAAACTCAATAAACAGCCACAAAATACAAAAAAGAATTAGCCTATTCAAAACACGTAACTTTGACAAGCAAAATACGGCCGGCAGAAGGAACACGAACTACTATTCACATACACTATTTAAATACGCTATTTCTAACATAAATGCAACAGTTTTAAATATAACAACGTAGATAATTCACAATCAGCAACTCATAACACCATTTGATAACACCTAAACAAAGAGTTGTTGTGTGCCTCTTGGCAGACATTTTCATTTAAGTTTGACAGCATCTTGGATAGTCTATAGGTTAACAGCAAAAGTAGGGAGTGTTATGGTATTTTTAAAAAGCCAAATGTCAAAAAATACCTCTTCGTTTTTGTATCGGTCGAAATGGCTATTACCAAATACTCGAATTTGCGACGTTGCCAACGCAAATGATACTCGTATACGATATCATTTTCGAAGGGCCTTCAAAAATACGCATTTTAGTTCGTACACGACTTTTTTTATTCGAATTAGATCGCATGCGAAAGAATTCGCATGGTTTCGAAAATACGACCCCAGGAGAATGCTGTATCTGATACACACGTTGTCCATAAGAACTTGTGGGACTGTGGTCGGTTCTTGATTGGCATTGGCAAATACTTCAGAACATTCACTGAGAAGGCCCATTGAAACTAGGATGCACTTTTTGCCTGTGCTAGCTCCAGGAAAAGGTCCAGCTACATAAATCGAAATTCGTTCATTTAGTAGTTTTACATTGTACTGCTTTATTGTTTCCCTATGTCGATTAGGTACCTACTATACTATTTTTAACATCCCAGCGGAATTTTCATTTATTTTCGAAAATTCTGGTTGCTGAACGTGGGTGTATTTTTAAATCGGGATTTGTACATACGGATATGATATTGTGAAAGTTCACAGACTGATTATTCAAAACAATGGGTACATTCAGGCGGTGCCAGCGGCTAAGTTCAGCAACTCAGCAGGGACTTTATTCTCGAAACAACTCAGCAGGGACTTTATTCTCGAAACAGGGGAGCAGCGTTCTCATGAGAACGAAGGTTTTGTCTTCGTCGACCGTATTCATATTTCCATAACACTGACAATGACAGAGCAATCATTCTCATGAGAACGCTGTTCCTCGATTCATTTTTCTGAAAAGTGATCTAAATTTGGAATAGCATAGAAATTTGTGAAGGTCTGTAAATGACATTTCAATTAAACGCTCCTCTTAAGGTAATGTGGAATAATATTGCAAAGCAACTACAAGAGGTCTATTACGAAAAATGGGGAACCAAGATCGATCCTTTTATAGGCCTGGAATTTTCCAGATCCAGAAAATCCAGGGATTCGAAGAGAAGACAGCTTCAAAAGTTGCCAGAAAAACGTAGAGAAAGTTCAACGGCTTTTACTAATGAAGAGTACCATGCCATATGATCCTATTGGAAAAAGGACACCCCTGTGGGCCTGCAAAGAAAATTTTATCATGTTGCAGCAGTTGAGCTAGCATGGAGAGGCGGCGAAGCAACCAACCTTCTGACTTCTCATTTTCGAAAAGAATTACACAATAATGGAACATTCACCGGTTAGTAGACTATTTTTATTTGAATTTAAATTACCTAAACCAGTATTTTGGTTTTTAAATTTTTCTGTTAATTTTACCATATACAGAAGGTTTATTTGTTTTTTTTTATTGTTTCAGGATGAATTGAATACAATCCCATCTTTTCTAAGACAGCTCAATGGGAATCCAAAAAGTGTAAGGATAGTAAATGGTTAGTTCGCAATCGCAAAAATCCCGAGTTTTGCCCGGTACGGTTATATGAAAAATTAATGGAATGAAGACCGTCAAATGTCGAAACAAATAGATTCTTTTTAACGGCCAATCCCTATTATTTTATAAAAGATTTCTGGTATAAAAATACCCCAGTGGGAAGAAATACAATATCCTCATGGACTAAGCTGAAAAAATAGGGCCTGACCCACTCGAAAAAAAGATAACAAATCACTCAAACAGATCGACTACAGTAAGTCAACTGGCCAAATCGGGCATAGAAGAGCAACAGCTAATCAAAATAACGGGACATGGAAACATCAAATCAATTAAGCCTTATTTTCAGCTAGATGAGGAGCATAATATATCAATAATTCAAGGCTTAAGGAAAACTTCAACCTCGATGTCCACAAATCGTTTCACAAGCGAGTCAAAAGCTTCGTCCAAAAATAAGAAAACCGGCACTGATTCTGATATGGACAACCCACCTCCTGGAGCTTCAGGAATTACATCTCAAACGGCTATGTCTAGCAAGTTTGTTAATTAAAAATCATAACATTCCTATTAATTATCAAAACTGTTTATTTTATTCTAACTGTAGATTTAATTTAAGTTTTAGAATTGTTTACTTACTTATCTGATTACTTTGTCTATTATAAACTGTTACGTTATATTTTGTTCTAACTGTATTTTTAACTGAAGTTTTAGAAATGATTACTTGTCTTATTAATCGTTTAGAAAAAATTGTTGCTTTGTAAAATCATCACTCTGTTTTCACGAAACCATAACTCGGGAAATTTCCTTTCAAAACATAACATGTGCATGAAATATTTCCTAACGGAAATTTCTGAAATTTTTATTCCTCAGCCGATTTGTTAATAAGAGCATTCGTGCACAGCCCCAAAAAAAAAAATTTTTTTGGGGCTCATGCTTTCATAAAAAAATTGGTTTCGGAAAAAATTTCCGGAAATATTTTATGCACTTGTTATATTTCTACTGGAAATTTCCCTTGTGCATATTTAACTGGAAATTTACCTCGTAATTTTCGAAAATTAAGAAGTGGAAATATCCCTGATGAGCGGGATATTTCCGGGTGCAATTTCCATTGTCATTTTTGACATTGATGCCCGCTTTTCCATTTAATACGCATTGATGTCAGAAATATGTCAGTGTATATTTTTGACAAACACAATTTAAATGGGAAAGATCAATGTAATGTCCTGAAGCCCTTAAATAAAACTTCAGCTTCTTTCAGTCCTTTGGTACGATATTTATTGGATTACAACGATACTTTTGGGGATACATAAAATATACGGCAATCTCTAGTTCGGCAGTCGCAGACAGGCTCATCAGCTGGGCCGTCGTGATGGGCCAATCAATGTTCTGCGCGTGTGCGCCAATAGAACATATTAAGCGGGGTTTCCACCACGACACCCCCACACTAAGATGAAAACAAATTCCATACCTGCATGCCATTGATTTTACTTAGAGTTCCAACCTATATTACCAACATACATATCTATGGTTCCAAAAGTTACAGTAGCTTTCATTTATTCCTTACTTCTAGAAATAAGTCACAACCAAAAAAAAACAATAACATTTCAAAAATCTTATACATAAAAACAGTTACTTATCAATAACAATTATCACAATTAAAACGTTACATAAGACACAAAGACCTTAATTTGTCATCAAAGGTTGAAGGCTGTGTGCACGCTTGGAAATGAGGAGGAATGAAAGTTGTGTATTTTCGTGCAAAATATTTGCACGATTTGCACGAATTTGCACTGAGAGCTACTAAACACAACTTCAGCCCCCATTCTAATTCAAAAATCCTACACAACATTTCTTCTAAAAATTTCAATCGTTTAGACTTCATGGAAGATATTGAGATCAGTAAAGAGTTGCGCAACAATGAACTATGTCTTAACACTCAAGTAAATCTGAATAGATCATACATCCCCTTGCATAGACGCCTTTAAATTGTTCCTCTTGACCATCGTTGTGTGGACTCGACGGCCATGTTGGTTTCCCTCAATGTCTGTTCTTTTCTTCCGTTTTATTCCATTTGATTTACAACTTAACCTGGGTTCGCTTTGGACGTTTGTCTGTCTCGAGGTGTCAACTGTCTTTGATAATCTTCATGTCAATTCAAAATTTGAAAGTCATCTTCATTCGATGGGTTCTGGTTTCCGAACGACACGTTTTAAATTAAAAATTCTAAAAATCCTAAATTTGGGATTTAACACAAAGATTATATTTTCAGAGACTACGATGAAGTAAGGCATAACTGACCAAATTTTTTAAAGTTCAGCAGATTGGACCCTAAAGCCAGCATTGTGAGAGAATTTTTACAGCTCAGTTCCTTTATATAAAGAAAAAATGTGATATAAGATTCTAATTTTAAAGTGTTGTTGTTGTTACGTACGTACTTGTCCAATGTGTCGTCCCGATTTTATTGAATTTTTCTGCACTAATTACCTGACGAAGTAAGTAGGCTAGACCCCATTCCCAATCTTTTCTTATTTTAGCATTATTTTATAAAGTTAAGGTCTCCCTTCTACTTCCAGGTAGCACTGATGATGGCCTAAGGCCGAAAGCGCTCTGCACTGATTTTGAAAAATTAAATATTTTGCACGAAAATACACAACTTTCATTCCTCCTCTTAATTTGTCAAACATCAATAATTTACTCATTGGTGAGATAGAATGCCACAGTATGCCTAATTTCTATCAGTCAGCTAACTTGATTCAGAGCTGGAAGAGAACTCAGTTTTATAAGAGTCAAAATAAGATGGTTTTTACGTTTTAGAGATGTTCTTGAACTCGAACTCGCATCGTGAATTTTGCTTTCAGATTCATTGAGCTTTGAATTTCTTTCCCATAAAGGAACTTCTACTGACTTCTCCTCCTTCTCCTCCTCATCATAAAAAGTTGAGAGTGACTCCGCTGTCTCACCAATCTCCCTCATGATTTTTTTAGGCTGTTGCCCACTCAAACCAGCCCCAGGCAGGTGTTGCGGATACTCTATTTCTGAAATTTCACTACATGAACTGGAATCTACAAAACCGCTACATTCAGAAATACTTTCATCTGAAATATCATTAATATTGGTTTCCAATGGTCAGGTTCACAGGTCACGGCTTTAAAACCAACAGGCTGGATTGAAGGCAAATTCACAAAATAATCCAAAAGACCCTTAGAAGAACCCTTATCAAACTCTTCACCCATCCTCAATCCACCCTGATCGAAATTTACAATTTTTTCTTTTGAAACATCATATTTTTGAATTTGATCTATGTGACGCTTCAAAATTTGACCATTTTGAACTTTACAAAGAAAAACAGAGTTATCTAATTTTTCCCTTATGACGGCCTGGATCCATTTCCGAGGTCCCCTATAAAGTCTGACGTACACATTTTCACCTACCTGAAATTCTCTTGCATATCCTCTATAGAACTTCTTTTGTGCTTCTTGTTGTTTAACTGTCCGATCTAAAATAGAGTCTCTAACCAAATTCAACTTACTTTTGCTGTTCTCCTTAACTTGACTCAAAACTGTTCTTGGCTTCCTGCCAAACATCAGTTCAAATGGTGTTTTTCCTGTGGTATTGTGTTCTGTTGTTCTGTATGTGAATAAAATTCTGGACACAATGGCGGAATGAGAGAAACCAATGTTTTTAGGATCAAGGTAAGCCGAAATTAGCTTGTTTTTTATGGTTTTTACACCATTTTCAGCAAAACCATTGCTCTGGGCATGGTATGGCGGTATAGTGCCGTTTCTTTTGAAAAATTCCCCCAAACCAGCAGATACCAGTTGAGGTCCATTGTCACTTACCAATGTTCCAGGTAATCCCAATCTCGCAAAAATTTCCCTCAGGATATCTTCAGTTCTGGAGCTTGTTGTGTTGCTCATCTGAATAACATCTACAAGAATTAAATGCATTTTATTCCTAAATTCAAAAAAATCTATATGTACCCTTTCCAAAGGCTTACTTGCTATTGGCCATGGTGTCAGAATGGTTTTGGGGGGGTCCTGTTTGGCTTCCAAACACATGGAACATGATTTTATGAGGTTTTCTATTTCATTTTCAATGTCACCCCAATAAACCCAAGATCTAGCAAGGCTTTTATTTCTGGCGATGCCAAAATGTGAATTATGAAGTTCTGTCAAAATTTTTGGTCTCAAAACTTTTGGTATACATACCCGATGTCCATAAAGTAATACTTCGTTTTCAACATGAAGATCCTGCCTTCTAGTGTAGTATGGTTTCAGATTCTTGACTGTATTCTTCGGCCACTTTCCTTCTATAACAAATTTCATCACCATGCAGAGTTCTTCGTCCTCCTTGGTTTTCTGCCTGATTTCATCATTGTTTATAGGGTGAAATTAATATATTGCCCAGCGAGGGTCTCCTCCCCACTTTCAGTTAAAGGCTTTCTGGAAAGGTAGTCAGCTACAGGGTTTTGAGTACCCTTAACATGCTCAATCTTGTATTTAAACATTGATAAAAATGCTGCCCATCTCTGGAGCCTGTTCGCAGCTGTTTGCGGAATGATCAGTTTTTAATGTAAAGGGATAACAAGCTAAATATTCAAAAAATTTATTTACCCCAAAATAAATTGCCAAAGCCTCTAAATGTATTGTAGAATAATTTATTTCGGATGGTAACAAGCTACGAGAAACACAGGCTATAATTTTATCTTGTCCATCAATAGTGTGACTTAAAACAGCTGAAATGCCCTTTGTACTAGCATCTGTTGTTAGAATAATTGGATACTTTTATGGGTTAAAGTGTACTAATGTAATATCAGAAACTATCATTTTTTTTATTTTCAAAAAACTGTTTTCACAGTCCCTTGACCAATGAAATGTATTGTCTTTTTTTAACAACTTATATATTGGGTGTAAAATATTGGCTAAATCGGGAACAAATTTAGAATAATAGCCTACCAAACCTATAAAACTGCGAACCTCTGAAATGTTAGTTGGCCTTTCTGCTTTTGAAATTGCATTTACCTTGTCATCTAATTTTGAAATGCCATTTTTGGTAATTCTAAAACCCAAATAAGTAATTTCTGACACAAAAAATTTACATTTTTCTTTTCTTAGGGTGAAGCCCGCATTCTGCAACCTTTCAAAAACCAATCTTAGCTTTTTATTGTGATCCTTCAAAGAAATGCCTGATACGGCAATGTCATCTACAAAACTTACTACTCCATCAATTCCCTGGAGAGTCTGCTCAATAATTTGTTGAAAAATGCTCGTTGCTGGCGTTATGCCAAAAGGCACACGATTCATCTTGAAAATACCTCTTGGAGTTGTCCAAGCTAACATTCTTGAAGTCTCCTCAGTTAATTCAATCTGATTGTAAGCAGATTTCAAATCAATTTTTGAAAAATAAACTGCATTATTGAATTTCGCCAAAACCTCATTAGGTTTTGGCAATGGATACTCAAAAGGCTTCAAAAACTTGTTTATAGTGGTTTTATAATCGCCACACAATCTTATAGATTGATCAGCCTTTATCACAGGGACTATAGGGGTTGCCCAGTCACTGTGATCGACTCTGGAAATTATTCCATCTTTTTCAAGCTGCCTAAGCTCTTTGTCGACTGCGTCTTTGAAGGCAAAAAAATTGGAGTGACGTCTGTGCCAGAAAACTGCAACCTGACCCTCCTGAATTTATATTTACCAATTTGATCACTGAACAGACTAGGAAACATCGAAATAATGAATTAATTATTCAATTCATTATTTTCCCCTATGCTATTAATAAAACTCATTTTAATATTGAATTTTTCCATCCAATCCCTACCGAGAATGTTGGTGGTGGCACCTGGAACAACATAAAATCTACATACCCTGTGGACGCCTCTGAACTCCGCACTGGCTTCAAAGTATTCGTCTGGATAGAAAACATTCCCATCATAACCCTTAAAAAAAAACATTGCCATGGGCCAGTTTGAGGTTAGCAAAATTTTGATCATAGCACCTTCCTGTTAGTGAGGTAATTGCAGAGCCACTATCACATAAAAAATTTATCTCGATATTTTTTATCCTAACATATACATTAATAGCTATTTATACAATAAGTTACGAAATGAGCGTCTTTTAGGCACGCGACGTGAAAATTGTCCATCGAGGCAAAGCCGAGTTGGACAACACGTTGAGTGACTAAAAGACATCGTTTCGTAACGTATTGTATACAAGATTTTTTCTACTGGCATTTTATAATGAAAAAACACAATTTTATTTCATGTGAATAAGTCGATTACGCCCAAAATCTTTGTTACCTGCTTTTACTTGACACCTGACACTTTTCATGCGATTTTTTTTTCAAGATTCGATATCAATAATTAAAATCCTAGAAAGTAGTAACAACACAAAGTTAAATAAATAAATAAATATCGCCTTTATTCAATATTAAGAACAGAAAAAAAAATCGACAAGATACATTCCCATGCAAAGAAGAACAATAGTATAAGTAAATATAAATTAACATGATGGGGGATGCAAACTCTAGCATGGCGAAGTCTAGCTTGAAAGCTACTCAAACTCAACCATATCCAGTGATATGCATACACCCCATATATTAATGAAATGTACCATCATAATATTCCCTAAAAAACTAAAAAGTATATCTAAAAAAAAGCGCAAATATGAGTAAATATTTAAATTTAAATATTTAACTATACATTACGTTCGAATTTTAACCAATAATAGAAATAATTTTAAGATAGTTCCCAGACACCAGCGCACCACCCTCTAGCAAGCCATCAGCAACTAAATTAGGGGAGGGAATTAACCTGCTCATTAAATAATATAGAGTTCTGTTTTGAGTAACCCAAACGTTCAATTCAGTAATTACATTTTTAATATCCATAATAAATACAAAACAAAATCAAATCTGTGTTTAGTGTGTTTTTTATTTCTGAATAATGAATGACACTTTTACGCACTAGTGCTTAAAAATTATTTTTACGCACTCAAAAGTCACTTTTACGCATTCGAAAGTCACTTTTACGCATTGAGTGCTTAAAAGTAACTTTTACGAACTCAGTGCTTAAAAGAATGTCGTTTTAAAACTAAAATGACAATCGAAAAGTTGCTATTATGAAACGTCAGTAGAAAAAATCATTTTTAGGATTGTTAACATAATTTACTTCATCAAAATACATTTCAAATTTCCCATTTATACTGTCCTGGCCTTGCTCATTCACACAATAACATTCTCTATCGCTCTCAGTCTCACCATCTACATATTCCTGATTATATTCATCTTCATTTTCTGCATTTTCCTCCACAAAATGAATTTTTCTTCTATTTCGAGAATCTGTTTTGCACATTCTTGCCAAATGCCCTACTTTCTTACATAAATTACATTTTGCATTTTTAAAAAAACAAATTCCTATATTATGATCATTACCACAGATAAAACAATTTTTATTTTTATATTGATAATGTTCAAAGTTTTGATTACCTTTTCTTTTATCAAATCGGCCATTTGCCAAAGTATTTTCATGAGCCTTGGCACCCAATTGGTTCCGTTGACTGCGCAAAGTCACATGATGTGTTCTGTGGTGGCCTCCCATTTGCTGTCTTGGTCTTGACACATATCTGACATCTTGGTCCTGATGATCTTGTTCTTGATGAAAATTTTCTTGATTTAACGCCAATGCCAGGATGTCCTTTAATGGTTTCGTTTCTGACTCTTTACAAATCCTGTTTTGTATTTTCCGGGATTTAAACCAGTCACAAATTTACTTAATAAAAATAAATCCAAACTTGCCCCAAAGTTACATAAGGTTGCTGCCCCTCTTATTTTGGCATGCCACTCGGAGATTTGCAGCTGGTCTTGGGATAATTTGAAAAATTTGATTCTCTCCCTCCATACGCTTTTGGAAACACCAAATTGGGATTTCAGTATATTGCAAAGTTCCTCGAAAGATTTTTCATTTGGTGGGGTTGGATATGTTAGGTCTTTTATCAATTTATAGGTAGATTGACTCACCGAACTTAATAAAATTGCCACCTTTATTTTTTCTTCTTCTACGTTATTCACGATCAAGTGCTGAATTAGCCTTTCGGAATATAATTCGAAGTCGTCCACGTCAGAATTAAATTCATAAAAGCGGGGTGGTACTGCCGCAGCCATTTTGGACTCACGCGATCACGACCTTCACAGTTCACACTGTTTTGTTTTGTGATTTTACTCACTTTCCCCGACAATTTTGCTTTTACCGCCACTGTAATGTCCTGAAGCCCTTAAATAAAACTTCAGCTTCTTTCAGTCCTTTGGTACGATATTTATTGGTTTACAACGATACTTTTGGGGATACATAAAATATACGGCAATCTCTAGTTCGGCAGTCGCAGACAGGCTCATCAGCTGGGCCGTCGTGATGGGCCAATCAATGTTCTGCGCGTGTGCGCCAATAGAACATATTAAGCGGGGTTTCCACCACGACAATCAATAACAATCAGCACCAATAATTAAAATCGACACAACGTAGTAAATAAACTTCAAACTCGGGAAATTTCCAGTAGTAATATAACTAATGCATAAAATATTTCCGGAAATTTTTGAAAATTTTGTCTGAAGCCAATTTTTTAACAAAATCATGAGTGCATAGCGACTGAAAAAATCCCGAACCCGAAGGGTGAGGGATTTTTTCTTTGGCGCTATGCACGAATGGTTTTGTTTAAAAAAATTGACTAAAGACCAAATTTTTAAAAATTTCCCCTAGGAAATATTTAAATTATTTATTTAATAAAAGTGTAGAACAACGCGTTTTTTACTAGTAATGCTTTTGCTTTTCTGTCCCAAATAGTATACAAAATTTAAACTGATGCAATACAATTTCTGTAGGTATATTAGTTTTTTTTTTCTCTCAGTGCAAATGCGAGGTCTGGCGTCCTAGACTTTTATTTTATTTCACCATTTTTGAGCTTTTTTGTCTCTGAGGAAGAGGATCTATATATCCTCGAAATATGTAGGGTATAATATATAATGTGGAGGAAGACTTCGTGCCTTTTCTTACCTTTGAATTAAATTTAAACTGCACTTAGAGATGGACTACCTCTTCAATTTAATACCCACTATGTTACTTACTCATCATCAACATCCATATGTGTTTCCCTTATAGAAGTAAAAGTATTAGACGATTGTGGTACACACGTTGCTTCCACATTCATTCTCAGATGAAAGAGACATCACATCAATTCGTGCTGAATCTTGTGTTGAAACATCGCATGAACTTGAAGAAAAAACTTTTCATTGCAAATTAAACGAAGAATGCAACACTACTGTTCTGTGCAGTGATAATGCAAGTTGAAAAAAAAGCACAAGTAGGTATAACTTTTTATTACGCGGCGAAATCAAAATGGCCCACTCCCCACACCCTGTATGATTTTTTTATAGAATCCTGATATATGTAAAAAATAAAATAAAATATAGGTACGTGTTCAACTGTTTTTTCAAAAAACTGACCGTTTTTTGACAATAAAATAATAGACCCGACTTTTTCAAACACCCTGAATGAAAGCAAAAAACATCCCAAAATATGTAAAATCGTGATTAACTGTTTTTCCCAAAAACGGCTTTTTATAAGTATCTATACAAACTATACATGGAAAATGTTATTCTGAATTTATCGAATTTACCTTTTATTCACGAAATACCTTTTTTTCACATTGAATTGTTTAGCAGGATGAATGATAACCAATTATCTAGTTCATCATCGGAAGTATCTGGTAATATCACATCACTATATTTGAGGCTGTGAAACTGTCTTGATTTTAAAAATAATTTACAATAAGAAAATATTTCTGGTGTAAATTTTTTCACTTCTTCTGTTTTTTGTTCAAAATGAGGTCTACCTTTTAATGAATTACACGAAAAACAATTAATTTTTAAAAAAATCTAAATACTGTGTAGATTAGACAAATTATGTCACCGAAAATAGATATTTATTTATTCATACGGCTGGTTCAGATAAAGTGTAGCAAATACTTTTACTCTGCCTTTGTCTCTTTTTGCTGCAATAAAGCTGAATATGTTTGTCTCAAAAAACGTAAGCAAAAGCATTTGCTTCTGTTTTATTCATATGATCTAGTAGTGTCGTATGTAACGTATACACTCCAAGCACAAGAATAAACCAGAATGAACAAGAACCTCAATACCACCAGTGCAGTAGGCGTAGCTCGGAATGCAGCGGCTTTTTTGAGATTGGTTTCGTATTGACTGTGACTGATTCGATTTTGTTGTATTTTGAAATTATAGTCTTTTCGCAAAATAATTTTTTGTTGTTGTTTAAATCAAAAACATAATGATGTAATGTTTCCTACTCCATAAGAATCATTACAACAGGAGATGATTGGAGCGCACCTCGACGTCAGGTACACCGTACACCGACTAAATTCAAAAAAACTTTATGCTTCTTTTTTACGCATAAGCGGTAATGTTTTACTGTCGGACAACTTAGTCATTATGTTCTATAGTTCTTTTCAATACAATAAATCGAAAGAAGAAATTGTTATTCGTAAATTTTTTGGCTTCGTGAAACCGATGATTTTCCCGCATCGGACTGGAAAATCGGAAAATGTAATATGTCGGACAATTGGATATTTATATTCCTCATATTTTTATTAAGTAATTCTGAAAAAATCAGCTCGTTATCCAAAAATTTTTTTAACTTGTCAATTGGATATGTTTGAGTTGGTAGACACCCTTAACGCTCCAACATTTTTGTCGGACACATTTTTTTTCGCGTTTTTCCTGAATTTGTCTCGCGATTTCACTAAAAATAAAAACGATATCTATAAATTTTTTGCACCACGCGAAATGGTCGGCTTTCGGAAAAACTAGAAAAGAAAAGCCCCCACTACGAAAGTTTTCATAAAGGAAAAAGATGGTAGACTAGGCGCAATTAAGCCACATAAAACATTCCAAGGCAGTATTCATAAATGCAACTTTATGTCGCTGGGCACCTACACTATATGTTTTAAATGGAAAAGCTGGTCTCAATGCCAAAAATGACAACCTAAAGGTGAGTCTCCGACGGACGCCGCGCGGCATTGTCGCATTGGAAATTGCACCCGGAAATATCCCTCTCACCAGGGATATTTCCACTTATCAATTTTTGAAAATAACGAGGTAAATTTCCAGTTAAATATGCACAAGGGAAATTTCCTATCAAAATATAACACGTGCATAAAATATTTCCCAAATTCGTGCATAGCGCCAAAGAAGAAATCCCTCAACCTTCGGGTTCGGTATTTTTTCAGGCGCTATGCACTCATGATTTTGTAAAAAAATTGGCTTCAGACAAAATTTTCAAAAATTTCCGGAAATATTTTATGCACTAGTTATATTTTCTACTGGAAATATTAAGGGACGGTAACAAACCACGTTTCGTCACTCGGAGCTGGATGTTGAAACTTTTTCCTGATAAACAGGTTGTTTCTGCACCTGCTCTCGGGGCACATGCTGTAGAAGTTCAGAGCCCTGGTCAAATTGAGGGACATAGGCTTGAACACACGCGTGAACATGAGTTCCTTGCCAAACAATCCGCCTGGAACCAAAATAATCGGCTCTAATGAAGTCTCCCGATGAACCCTAAGTAATAGAAGCATTCTCATGGATAACTTAAATTTTTAGGAAAATATTTATTTTTTCGGCAATTGACTGAACATTTTCGTTTGCAACTTAATTTCGACAAACGGTTACTTGATGGCCGATAAAGTACTTGATATGATAACGGTAAAAATTCGAGACTCTTACCTACTCCACTTACCTAAATTGAAAGGGACGAGGGACAATCTAAACAAGTAGTAGTTCTCCTCGATGGAGCCAATGGAAAGCGTTGGTACTACTTGGTACTTAAAATCTAAAAGAGGAAAACGATTTCTAGGTTAATAAAGGAACATGACGGTTATGTATTTCACAATTGAAAACAGGATTTTCTAAAGACTTTTAATAATTATAAAATAAGAAATATAATCAGCGAATAAACGTGATTGACTTGACAAACTAACTTACTGACAACATCCGCTCTTACAACAGAACAACACCTGCCAATATTAAAATAGGTCTTTTCAATAATCCAAAGTATACTACATTTCCCACCTTGTTTAAAGATCAAGCCTTATTGGTGCTTTTAGCACTCGACCAAATCGCGACACTTTTGGGAAAGCTGGAACCCCTTGAGGGCTTTCACCAACAACACTTTCTATTCTAGGGCTTACACAACTAATTGGAGATGTAACAGAGTCTTGAAAACTAATTGGCGGTGGTTCTTCAAGATAAGGTTTGGGTGGCACATGAGGTGATATACAGGGTGTCCCACAATCAGCGTTACAAGCCATAACTTTCTCATTTTCAGAAATAAAAATTTGAAACAAAAAATAATAATAATGGCTAGTTAAGCTCTCTTCAAAAATATAGAAAAATCTTTCCCTGACAAAATCATCCCCTATTTACAACCCTTGACTTTTTTTTTCAAATGGCACCCCTATATTTTATTTTTGAGAAGCTCATGAAATTACAAATTCAATGGTGTTTAAAAAGTTTTTTTTTCCATATCTTTTGGGGGAAAAAAAATGGATGTTCCACCATTAGCCTTACACAGGCGATCACTTTTTTGTCTACAAAAATACAAATATACCAAAAAAAATTAACTGTGCAAATTAATCCCTCTTTAAAAATATTAAAAAAATCTTCCCTAGCAAACTCATCCCCTTAAAACAACTCTTGCCTTTTTTTTTTCAAATAGAACCCCATTTTTATTATTTTCATTTTTGATTTTTTTTTCCTAGGAAACATGGAAAAATAAACTTTTCATACATCATTAAATTTGCAATTTCATGAGCTTTTCAAAAATAAAAATAAATAATAGGGGTGCCATTTGAAAAAAACAAGTCAAGGGTTGTAAATAGGGGATGATTTTGTCAGGGGAAGATTTTTTTTTTATTTTTGGAAAGAGGTTAACTAACCAT